AGATAAAGACCATCCATTCCAATTTTCTGTAGGATTTTTACCATGAATGGGTGTTGGATTTGGTCAGTTTTCCTGCATCTATTGAGATGATCATAAGGTTTTTGTCCTTGGCTCTGTTGATATGGCATATTACATTTATTGATTTACGTATGTTGAACCATCCCTCCCTCCCTAGGATGAATCCCACATTTTTTGATGATTTGCTGCATTCTGTTTGCCAGTATCTTATTGAGAATTTTGCTTCTATGTTCAATAAGGAAATTGGGCTATAGTGCTCTTTTTGGTTGTATCTTTCTCTTCTCTGGTTTTGGTATCGGGATAATGCTTGCTCCCAGGAATGAATCTGGGAGTATTGCTTCCCTTCCCATTTCATTATAGATTTTTAGAAGTAGCAGCATTAGATCTTCTCTAAATTTTTTGTAGAATTCAGCAGTGAATCTGTCAGGGCCTGGGGTTTTCTTTGTTGGTAGGTTTTTAATTACAACTTCATTTGCATTGACTGATACTGGCTTATTGGGATGTTTATATCTTCTTGATTCAGCTTTGGTAATTCATATGTAACTAGGACTCTGCCCACCTATCTGTTTTCTATGTTATTAGAATATAGGTTCTCGATGTAGAGACAGCATAGTTCTTTTTTCTGGTAATAAAATCTGAGTCATATCTTCTTAATGTGTAGCCTTTTCTCCAAATGTGATATAGATCTTCAGAGAATTAGGACTACAGAATATACAGTGGCACCAACATGTCTGAAATAGTTAATGGTGTCCCCTATATCTAACTAAACTTCTAGAACTGAACCTAATGTTCCAGGAGGGTAGGAAGCACTAGGATTAATCATAACAGGTGCATCAAACATTTGTCTGGAGGAAGTGGAAAGCATCCTCTAGGTCAGGACTCACAGGGATGGCAAACATTTTAGAGCTTTTGATGATATAAACAGCCTACTGCAGCACACATGCCATAGGTTCGCTGCCACTGAATAGAAATTGCTGTTCTCTCACTACTCACCTCCTTCACTCTACTCCCATCATGGCCTGTGGATTTAACCGCTCTGAGCTTCATCTCCTCACCTATATATTTCAACAGAAAGCTTGCTTTGCCTTGACTTCCTCAATAGACTACAAGGATTCAGGTAGTGTCTTGCAGGAATGATGCTCACCTATCACCTCAGAACAGCATCTCCCAAGCAAAGCTACCCCCCCCCGATTTTTTTTTCCATTTAATATTTTCATTGCCTATTTTGGAATTTTAATTACTTATTTTTGTATAAGAACTGATGTCAGCCTATAGAAACTTGGGCCCAGGGGCTGGGCCTTTGAGGTTGCCTGTGGCCCCCACCACCACAGGATTTTCTTTCCACTTGAATATACAACCCATCCTAACTGCCAGGCAGGAAACCATGTCCATACTCTTTGTTCTGCCTTGTGCGTCTGTTCTGCCTCTGAGTTTGATTTATCTACAGCTTTCTTTTGTACTAATACAGGAAGACCCTGAGGGCAGAGACACTCATCTTTGTACCCTTGGAGCCCAAGTCACAATCAAGCCTTAATAAGTGCAATCATCCCTTGGTGTCCACACTGGATAGGTCTCTGAATCTCCCAGTTACCAAAATCTGGATACTTGAGTCCCTTCTGTAAAATGACACAGTTTTGCACATGATTTCCTCTTACCTCCGCTATACTTTAACCTCTAGATGACTTGCAATAACAAATGCAACGTAAATGCAGTATGAGTAGTTGTTATGATGTATTGTGCAGGGAATAATGACAAAACAAAGCAGTCTGTATATGTTCCATACAGACCATTTCTTAAAAATATGGGAAAGTTTGAGATAAAGACGAAAACTGTAACATCTATGTTAATGTTACTTATATTTTTAGTTTCTGCTCTTTTTGTAAAATATGAAAATCCAAAAGTCAGGCTATTTCTTTTCATCCCCTAATATGCCATTAGCAATCCTCCCTGGCCAATATTTTTATTGTCATTGCTACAATAAATCTTGTCCTCAACACAATTGATGACAATGGCTTGAAACAAATAGAGGAGACAAAACTTTTGCATTCAGACAGAGCAAGCATTACTAGGTTATGTTTGTCACATGTCATATAATTGCTTATAATTTTACACATGTATCTACAATTATTTTATTCTTGTCTTTTGTAAAATGATGATATGACTGTCTTAGAAATGGTTAGCTGTACTTTCTGCAAACAAGGCAGGGAAATATCTGAGTCTAAATTTTCTATATTTCAGCAAACCAATGTTTTAGATACGTCCTCTAGGATAAAAAGTAAAGAAGTAATTTGTACTGTAGAAAGCTATATTTCTCTGGTGGTTTTACATAAGCATTAGGGTAAGCATTTCTAATCAGAATATCCAAAAATGAGAACCAAGACCTGTCATGTAAAGGTATAAGATCCCAATAATGAATGTAACTGTACTGTATACCTAAAATGTACCAATAAACTCAATGAGAAAAAAAAAAGAATATCCAAACTGCTCCAAAATCCGGGAACTCTAAGTGTCAATATATAATACCATGAATGCAGAAAATTCCACACCTGACCTTATGTGATAGACAGCACTCAAAATGCGAGCAGGTTAAAAATATTGTCTAAAATTTTTCTTAGCCTGTGTATACACAACGCAAGCAAGATATAAATTAATTTTATGTTTAGACTTGGTGTTATCACCAACATATCTAATTTTACTTGTATATATGCAAATATTCCAAAATCTGAAATCAGAAACACTCCTTTCTGGTCTTTAGCATCTCAGATATGGATACCCACCCATTACTTTATTTCAGGATTAAGCCTCAGATATTTATGGTAAGGAGAGCTCAGTGATGATCCCAAATATTATCATCAAATTTTTTTTCTTCTAAGAAAACTTTTATCCAAAATTCTGATGCTTTGGAATGAAAATATATTCCAAAATAATTGGAATGACATAGTAAATTGCAATTTATGATTTTGTGTTCCAGGCTCAGCTTTTTTTATTCTTCTATGAAACTAAAGATTATCAAATGTCACTGTAATTCATGGTAACCAAAAATAATATTTAAGTATGGCTAATAGTCATCTCACTTAACTGAAGTGTTTATTACAAAGAAAATATTGCATCTTTTTATGCCCTAATTGAGTTCTTTCCAAAACTGAGAATCAGGATGCTCAATGTCTTAGAAAACCCAGGATATGTATCATGGGTATCTACTCCTGATGACCTAGACTCCATAGTCTCTTTTAGAAAATAAAAAAAATTATACACTAGAGAAATAGTTTTATTATTTTATATTTTGAGCCCAGAATACCATCAAACTCAGAAGGGTCTGCACAAGGAAGTTTCCACTTTAAAGTTGTCAGGCCTCTCCACTGCCGTGCTGGTTAAATGGTATGAAGGCTTGAAATGCTCTCCACCTCCTTATCTCTTGGCTGTTGGGGCAACCTTGTGTCCCTAGACCTGGAATAGTCTCAAGCTACGGGGTGGGGGGGTCACCCTGATGGCAGGCAAGGCCACCGTTCCATTCAGGAGGGTCAAGACCTCTCCTATCGCCCACAGAGATGCCAAGTTGACCTTGTGAATCCTGCCACAACCTCCACCCTAACCCACTATCCTTCCATGCAGTAATGTCTATATCAGTAAACACTGTGTGTAGATCACTGCCTTTTAGAAACTTTATCTCCAAAGTCGCTGTTATGTACAAAGGAGGATCTTCTTATACTGAATTACATGTTAGGGAAATATTCATATGAGGTTCACTCTGTGTTCCTGTAGAGTTCTACTTTACACCTTGGTGCTTGCATTAGTCAAGATGCTGACAACTAGAAAACAGCCTATATTTTAATACATACATCATGTAAACTGGTAATACTGATGATTCATTACCCTGTAATGCCACTGCTGAAATTTTAAATTGCCTTTTCAGGATTTCATCAGAAAGATAACAGGCTCCCTCTAGTGGGAGTGAGCATTGTAGCTTCTTTCCCCAGGCTGTGTAACTTCATAGTGGGTTTTATGTGAAGGAAAAGGTGACTCTTGTGACTTTAGACTCCTTGACATTTATTTTTCTCTTCAGATTTTACCAAAGACATTAACATTGATTAGCAAGGGTCTGGAGTCATGTTGGGGAAGGGAACTGCTCTCATGTGAGCAAAGGAAAGTTAATGATGATCTGCAGCAAGGCCCTGACATGTCAGAAATATAGGAATATATTTATGTGATCTTTATGAAATTTATAAATATTTTAGCTCTATAGTATTCATGTACATAAAATACTATTTCACTTCTTGCCCTCATTGTAGAGCTGAGTTTGTGTGACTTGCTCAGTATCATATGTATTTGAAATCTGCTGTGATCTCTGAGTTCCTTTTAATTTTATGTAACATAAGTCATATTCACTGTAGCTCTTCTTCATGGCCAAAATCCTATGCCTTTTCTTAAGATCTTTAGCTTTTCACTTGTATGTGAAGTCAAAATTGTATCTTTATAGGGTTTAATAGCATAAAAATGTTAATTTTGAATCAACAATAAAAAATAAAACTATACCCAGACAGGCAAGGAAGTATATTGCACATTATAGATAAGGGTTTTGGTTTTTCAGTGAGCAAAGAAAAATGAAATAAATTTTAAAATAAAATTTAGTACCATATATATATATGTGTGTGTGTGTGTGTGTGTATATATATATATATATATATATACTTGTGTGTGTGTGTGTGTGTATATATATATATACACACACACACACACACACACATATATATAATATGTATATATATAATGATAAATAACAAGTAACCAGGAAGAGGAATTGTAGCAAGCTATAGAAATTTTTAGTTCTATAATCCTAACATTTATTTTTTTCTGTTCTACTTTTATATATCTTCTATCAAAGTTATGTACTTGTTTGTTTGTTTGTTTTATAACTATTGACAAAGCCAGTTTACAGAAAGGTTGCTTGTCACTAATGTTTATTTTTCTTCTCCCCCCTACAGCAAACAATGTGCTTGGTTTTGGAACACTGGTCAGCACTTCTAATACCTATGACGGCTCTGGTGTTGTGACTGTGGAGACAGACCACCCGCTCCTCTGGACCATGGCCATCAAAATCTAACCTCCAACCTGGCCTCATCAGTGTGCCTCTGCCCTGCTTCGCTCACCAGTGGTTTTTATTTCTCAGCAGAAATGCTTCACCCGAGTTTGCAGGAATGGAAACTTCCTCCTAGGAAGCCTACTAGGTTTAAAGCTGCTGAGAGATGGGGATGTAGCTAAGTGGTAGAGACTTGCCCAGCATGCCTTAGGCCTTGGATTCGATCCATACAATCACAAAAATATTAAATGTAGGCCGGGGATTTAGCTCAGTGGTTCTGCCGCCTGCCTCGCAAGCGCAAGGTCCTGAGTTCGGTCCCCAGTACCCCCCCAAAATTAAATGTGATGAAAAGATATTAGAGTTTAGTTAGTCCAGTTAACACTAGATGTGACATCTCCATTTCACAGAGAGGGGAAGATTTCATGTTATGAAAGCAAATAAAGTCTGTGACATTCGGTTGGAAAGCTAATGTAGATTATTCCTTAATAAAGTTCTGCCTTGTTTTACTTAATCATATCTTAGAAAATTATTAATTAAAAATTAGAAAAAAACATACTGAAGCTCCTCTTGGAGTCTAGCACATCCTTATATGCCACACACACACACACACACACACACACACACACCCATTTTCTTCTTTCAGATTCCTCTGTATAATTTATATTACCTTTGACCTAAAAAAGAAATACTTGCAGATTGGTGTGTTAGAACTGCACCATTTCATTTTGACTTACTGTAATTGGCACTGTCTTTCAAAAATAAGTCAAGAATCTTTGAATTATTATATTTGAAAATAGTTCCATAGGCCATGTGTGAAAAATGAATGATAACTTATGATGTCCTACTTATGTTAACTCCAAACTCAAAACTCACTTTGCTCCACTTCAGTGGGAATGAATCTCATCATCATTGCATCCTAAACCAAAACAGTAGTGCAGAAGAAATTTAAACATAAAAATTGACCTTGGGCTGAAAAAAATACTGGTTCAGAGACTCCAAGTTTATTCTGATAACCAGAAAATGAGTCTGTCTATGAGATAAATGAACATTGCATGTGGAGTCCATCCCTAAAACCTGTATTCTTCCTGTCTGCATTTGCCTGAGTTCCCTGACCCCCTCTGCTTAGCCAGAAATGGAAGGAGTTGGACTGATTGTTTCTGAGGCTCCTTCTCACATGTTCTCAATCCTGACACCTCACATTTCTTTCTTTCTTGTTTTTTTTTGAGACAGGGTCTCACTGTATATTTGAAACTGACCTGGAACTCACTATGTAGCCCAGGCTGGTCTCGAACTTACAGTGAACCTCCCGAGTGCTGGGATTACAAGCATGCACCACCACACCCAGCAAACTTCACATTTCTGAGACCCTCTTATCTTCTTCCTATCCTTTATGATTGTACCTAACCAAATCTTGCCATAAAAACTATGATATAAGGAGATAGTTGCCAATGTGTTTTATGTACATATAAGGTCTACATCATTGTACATGAAGTGACCAACTCTTCTTGGTGCTATAACTCTGTGGCTCAGACTGTAAATAGAGAAAGGGGACCAGCTGCACTAGCATCCAATTCTGAACAGATAATCATTAGAAACAATTTTTAATTATTTCATGCAAATATATGTGAGACTGAAATCCAGATGACAAATAAAATATTTACTTATCAATGTACATGTCTGTGGTTGGTTTTTAAGAAAATAATTTTTACCTGTATTTCATTTTAATCATTCTTATATAATCAGTGCTTCTGTATTTTAAGAAAGGTTTGTTCAAAGGATGATTAATAGCTGTGTAATTCCTAAGTATGATCATCTATATAAACACTGCAGTGGTAGAGGGGACTGAGACTTTTCCCACAACACAACCTTGGGGTGCATGCTGGAAGCCTTAGGGGCCCATGAGAAGATTCCTTTAGCACACAGATGATCATTCTAAACTCCTGCAGGGTACCAGAGAATTAGGTTCCAGTCTTGTTTTTGTACCTCTCCACATTCCTTGAAGCTACCTGGGAAATTTCCTGAAAATATGCGGGCGGCTTTGAGACAGGGTCTTGCTACATAGTTCATCCTGGCCTTGAACTTGCTCTGTAACCCAGGATGGCCTTGTACTCACGGTGATCCTCCTCCCTCAGCCTCATGAGTGCTGGAATTACAGGCATTCACCACCATGCCCAGCAGGCAATCTTCTCCCTTGTGTGCTACCTCAGTGTGTCAATTTAAAAATGTCCACATTTCATCATTTTTATAGTAACAGAGTCTGCAGAGGGTGAGGTCTCAGGTGCCCCAAAGAAGTCTGAGTCTCCCAGAAAGTTCATTTTACCTCACTCATAATCAGCTCTATCCTGGCCTCTAACTTATCTCCGTAAAAGAGAAACACAAGTTGGGCTCTGCTGTGAAAATCACCGATGTTCCTTGACTCTTAAGACCTCAGTTTTTTCTTCCTGGGGGATGGGTTCATACTTTTATACACCTGGTGACTGTCACACAAAATGGCCCTAGACTACCTGAGTCATTGATTGGTGAACTTGTGCCGTGACCAGCCTTCTCTTTAGGCAGTGGAAAACTCAGAAAATATCTACAGCCCAATGGTATGAGTCAAGTGGCCATGAAATAAACTGTGCGTGATCTAAGAAATCAGGGTAGAGTTGAGTGTGGGTCTCGTGGAGAAACACATTTTTACTCCTTAACTTCTGAGAAGCAGATAGGGAGCAGTTTTCTCTGAGGATGGAATCTAGGGCATTTCACTGGTTACAGAGAATCACTGGGCACAAAGAGGAGGTAGGCCCAGCCCAGGTGCTTGCAAAGTCGTAGTGCTTAGACGTTTATGTCCTGCTTCTGTGTGAAGAATGCATCTTGCATCTTACTTTCATGTGTATGGAGCCAGCCTTGCTTATTACTCCTGCTCAACTCCATGCCTCCCTCAACTGAATCTGAACTAATGAAATAGAACAACACATAGATTTGCTGTGAGGTGAGACTGAAGATATATGCCACATCAGCAAAGAAGTGACTGCTCTCTCCAAGGCTATGGTTACAAAGAAATACAGTCTGATTGGTGACTTTCAAACTATATTTATCATGACCCATAAGAAGTACCTTTTACCTTATAACCTTGGTACACACACAGACACAAACACACAGTATGTTCTAATATCTTTACCCTAATTTGAAAAGCACTCAAAAATATATGTTCTAGGTTAGAAAGCATAACAGGGAAGGGTAACAAGCATAAAGATACTTTAAATAAAAAGCATATGTGCTATGTATGCAGAGATCCAAATTGGATATATTCTGCCTATACTAACTTCACACATTTAGAATGTAATACTCTTAAAAATGTGTGTGCGGACATTAACATTAAAGCCACAAGGTTGAGGCATTCCTAGGTAGGCACTGCATACAGCCTGGAAAATCACTGGCTTCTACAGTACAAGTTCACCCTCCCTTGCTCATAGCAGATTTAACTTATCAATCATAATTTTCTTTTTGATGAGCCCCAGACTGAGTCTCAGAATCCATCTCAAAACATTTCCCCAGGCAGACATGATCAATTATTCTCCATTGACTAGGAGCTAATGTGTGATTTCACCACTGTACACAAAACTGCTCTGCCTTACCATCCAGGAAAGTCATCACGGCAATATTTCTCTGGTTTACAGCTAATGGGTGAATAAACAGATACAAGAACTTGTTCTCCATGTACTAAAAGCAAGGGCCTTGCATGTGGCAAAATAAAGCCTAATTCTATCCCTGAAAATAACTTAAAAAACATAAACAGGGAACTGATATCTCCCACAGTTGAAAAATTTTTCATAATAGACCCAGAGCTGGTCCCTGAGAACCAAGGAATCTAAAATACATAATATGCAGCACAAAGGATGCACAGTTTTTATTCTGCTTTGGTTTTTGTTCATTTGCTTGGAGCTAAGGCTCTACTGGGCTAGATTTGAACTCATGATCCTCTTTCCTTAATATCCCAAGTGCTGAGATTACAGGCATGCTCTTCTGAATCTGGAGTGAGAGGATCTTAATGTCAATAAAGATTACAAATCATAACACTGACTTCTAAACTACCTTTAAAAAGGCAGCGAAAAAAACTTTAAAACTGCAGACTCTTTGAATACTTAATTGCCAGTTATATTTTTGAAAGATAAATGTAAGGAAATTGTGAGTATAACATTCTGTAAGTACTAAGCAGAGTCCCATCTAAATGATCTAATTAATTTTATGCTTAATGTTTAGCATGATGAGTCTTCTACTACAGCAGGATCCCCTCTGTGGCTTGCACATTATTCCTTCCTGTAAACTGCTCTGTGTCCTGCCCCTAGAATAAGATTGTCTGTGCAGCAAGTGTGCAAGAAAAATGTGGCAGGCCAGTGAGCTTCAGATAACCACACTTGCACTGTATGTGTGACTTTCCTAGCCCCTATGAGCTATTGTTCTATTTCTTTGGTCCCTGACTTTCCAAGTCTTAAAGTAGAAACAATGAAATATTCCTTGAATAGGATTCCCAATCTGAGAGATAATGTCGTAATGCTAGACTGGACAGATCTGGTCACATCACTGTTAACTCTCCTGTCTGAAGAGGGTGTATCATTAACAGGACTGAGGTCAGGTGTGAAGGTATCATCCAGGGCACAGCCTTCAGCTAGTCACAAAGGGAAACAAAAGGCTGAGGAGCTTGTAAATTGCATCAAACAAATGGAGCAGGAAAAGTAATGACAAAGGTTTGGAACAGGAAGAGTATGTTTGACTGGCTTGCCCTAACAGGGAAGAGAGAAGAATAAAAGGTAACACAAGTTTTCTAGAGCTGAAAAATCTTAAAAGCTGGAGCAATTTCTAGATGTGAGGTTTCAAAGCATGGCTGAGGCTGTCATGAACTGAAATACAGATAAGAACTCAGGTTATTTTCAAATATTTTGAGACCATACAATTCAATTCTGTTCTCGTGGTGTTTAAATATTACTTGTTCCACATATTAACACCCATATGAAATTAGCCTGAGGAGTCTAAAAGCATAAAAAGTTGTAGTCTCCAACTGAATTACCCAAATGATACCTCATTATTTGTGATTCTCTATTGAATAATGTTCTCTGTTGAAAGAATAAATAGCTCTGTTAACTAACTCTGGGAAAATTACTAATACCACAGAAGAATGAGTTTGTTATTTTTAAAAACCTATCTTACTCAAAACCCTTAGCTTTATATCACTTTAATTAACACATCTGGCAAATGTGTGAATACATGAACAAGATTTCTGCACACTATTAGGACATTCTACACGCTTGTCTCACAGAAGCCCCTCACCCTGTCCTTCTGTGTCTTGCTGGGTCACCCTAGTACTTTAGTATCATCAGCTCTGGAATTTAAAAAGGAACTATCATCTCTCAAGTGATGAACCATGCAGTACCACGGCACTATGACCACACAGATAAAGGACAGCAAGTAAGAGATTCCTTAGGATAATACAGAGGTTTTGCTTTTTTATTATGTACTGTAGGAAATACTTAAGTGCCCATAAAACCTCTCCACTGTATCAACGCCACTTAGGAAATACCATTCAATTCAGCTTTTGTCCCCTATTCATAAGAAAAAAAAATCCCCTGGTACCAATGGCCCACACACATTCTGCTATTTTATTTTCACTCCTTAAAATTCCTGCGAGCTGGCATGAATAATGAAACGAAGAGAAATGGTGCAGAAAGTTGTTGGGATCACTTTTACTCAGTGAATTTATTATGCATATTTTTTAAATTGACCTTTTAGGCCAAGTTTTTATTCAATTTCACTGCAAGGAATTGAGCAATAAGGTCAGTTTGAATATTTGTATGCCTGTGGCATTCAACAGTGAGATCATGATGAAAATTTCACAGATTAAATCACGAAGAAGGCAAAAGCTATTATTCTTTTTAAACTCCATGGGATATAAAATTGGCCTGTTGTTTCTTTGCCCCCCCCCCCAAAATCATGAAAAAGCCAACAGCTTTTCTTCAAGGGTGACTAGAGGTAGGATTTTTTTTTTTTTAGGAAGAAAGTAAGATTTGTACAAAAAAGATAATTTCCCCCATTTTTAAAAGCAGATATTTTCATAATTTTGTTGCAAGATTAGGTATTTCTAATAATTACGTGCTCATATAATACTAATGTGCTAGCCACAATAATGCTTTGTTATTCATTCCTATTTTCAGGGATTAATAACAGCCTTCCACAAGTTGCTCTAAGGCTTAGCCTTTCTCTTGGGTAGATGTGTAATTTGTAA